AGAAATTTATATAAATTTCATAACAAAAGTAAAGTTTTATTTTCTTACAAAAAAAAGATATTCTCTCAGATTTGTTTTATCTTGGAGAATAAAAAACAACTAAATCAGTTGCATAAAAATATAATACAATTTTTTTGTAAAAGATTTTTTTCATTTTATTTTAATTTTTCGGGTATATGATTTCCCTTCATCTCTTCATTCTTTATTTCCTCGTATAAAATTTCAAGTACTAAATTGTTACATGATTTCCTGCATCTCTATGACGAACTGAACCTTCTTTCCAACCGCTGCTTTTATAAAATAACTAACATTATATTATATATATAAGAACACATAACTATGATGATGTTTATAGCATTGTTATTTTTAAATTAATCAATAATTGTAAATCTCAAGTAATAAACATCATTGCCATTTTCATCTCTAGTATTAATTGTATTTTTTACACAAAATGAAAATTTTAAAACCATTATGGTGATATCAAATATTATTAATTTATTTGGAGCATAAAGTTAAATTAAAATTTATTTCTTTTATGTTTTGCAGTCACAGTTTCAAAAGCCGTGACCGATACTAATATGCCAGATGATTTTTTTCTGGCAACGAGACCATATTTCTTGTTCATGTTCTCATGTTTCAATGATTTTCAGCGTGTCTTCCCTACAGTCTAACACACTCCCCGGCCAACATTTATAATATTTGGGGTCATTATGTCTAGAACTGGTGCTCTTTTGCGTGTGTTCACCCCAACCATTCGAATAACACTTCGTTCCATTATTTTTAATAAGTTTTTTATAAATCTAAATGAATTCCATTAGATAACGGTTTTAAAGGAATGCCATGTTGCCAACAAGATTTAGTTTTTTATCAAAGTCCAGAAATGCGATTTGGTCATATTGATAAATATACGGTTGGATTCCATAAAATTTTCATATAGCCGTTTCTTTTATTTTTTTGGTTGTTATTTTTTGATCTAATATATACAAACCAATAAATTTCGCAAAATATATTGATACCACCACCACCACCTTCTCCATTTATGTCCTATTTGACTCAGTGGCTATAAATTTTTAACGGGTCATTTGAAAAATGACAAATTGCCACTTGATTCGCCAACATCGGTTTGACTAGAATCTATTTACTTCAATCGAATCTTAAAAATTTAATTATTTTTTATAAAATCGATTTGAAATCCATAAATACAAAAGATATTCTTTGTTTTTTTATAAGTTATGACATTATTCCAACAATACTTAAGGCAGTGCTGATATTAAACTTATTTTTATCAGTTAGGATAAAAATCCATTCATTGGCTATTAATCAAATTATAATCACGTGACTAAAAAATACTTGAACGATTAAATATCCTCCTCATTAACAAAAAAAAATAATATTTATCTTAGTTGACGGATACAAATACAATCAACAATAAACTTGAAATTGATTAAGAAAACTGCATAAGCTACAATGTAACGAAGCTATATTTTAAAGATATTTATTAACATTGATATTGCAAGCGTAATTTTTGTCACATACAAATTTTAAAAAAATCATAACGAAAAATTAATATTAACGTTTTTAATATTAAAAACCATTTAATTTAGATGCTTACGAAATACTTGTTGATTTTATTATTTGACTCCTCGTATGTTTGTGATTATACTTATATCTAACGTCCCAAAATCCCGTGTGTCAGAATCAATCCTTTTTAACAACACCACTTCATTTATTATTGGCTTTACACTCTTCTTATCAGTTGGATCAATTAATATCGTTATGATGTACCGTGAATTTTGCAAGAAAAATTTGCCAAGGCTGCCTTTACCAATATCATCAACAAATTCAAGTTCTGTTACAACGGCTTTGATTTAAATCCATCATTTCGAAATTGACAGGGGGTGTCGAGTGCGAGTCATGTGATACGTTTATACCACGAAAAATTGTATAACGATCGGCCGGCGCGTGAATGTTTTTTTAATACAGTACAGTTCGTAAATGAAAAAAGTCTACGTAAACTTATCAAGTTTGATCATAACGTCATTGGTTGGTGATCATGATTTAATTAATATTAATGCGAACGCGCTTATTTTTGTTGGTGCAAGAAAAAAAAAATGCTTAGAAATTTTCCACTTGAAATTTTTATTGAAATATTTCATTACATTAAATACGATTATGAAACATTGTCTTCTTGCATTCTAGTTAATAAAAAATGGCATAATATCAACATTATGACTTTGTGGAGAAATCCTTTCTATTCTGTGAATAGCATCAAAACATTAATTAATTGTTTAACGGTAGAAGATAAAGACTTCTTAGTAGAAAGGGGCATTAAATTAATAGATAAAAAATTACCGAAAAAAGCACCGTTGTATAATTATGCAAAATTTGCTACCGTATTGGATTGTTGGTCAATTGATTCTAAGCTAAGAAAAGTAATAGTAGTCAGTCAGGACGATAATGAAATTGATTGCTTGATGGAAAGATTATTAAAATTTATTTTAGAACATTCGACGGCTGCTAGAACATTTAGAGGTTCTATTTCTAACGATTTTGCATGGAAGATTGAAAGTCATAGATTTGACGCTTGCTTTCGAAATCTTTATGAATTAGAATGTGTCTCTAATAACGACCCTGAATTTTTTAATAAATTGACAAAAATTTGTAAAAATATTAATATCTTGACAATCTATTATAATTGTAATTTAAATCCTAATAATAGTCTAGTTCAACTAATCAGAGCACAGAAAAAAATTAAAAAACTCACTATTTACACACAATATGATGACATGGTTTCATCAAACGATCTTAAAGAAGCAATCTTGGAGCATTCACAATCAATAATGCATTATGAATGTCATGGAGAGACTAGCCTTAATTCTTTAATATCAGAACTTAAAAATTTAAAAAGATTGAAATTATCTGATCCTTCAGATTCAACTTTTAAATACTTGGGATGCAATTTATATCCAAATCTTGAAGCCGTTTACTTAAGAACGCGCAGACGATCATTTTTATTGAAACTGTCAACTTTTATTAAAATTAATGGAAAGGATCTTAAATATTTAGCGATCGATGGTTCGCCAAAAGACGCAAAACATTTGAAAGAACTTATTAATTCTATTGGCTGTAATTGTCCAAATTTGGAATGTTTACAAATATTTTATGAAAGCAGTATGGATAAAGAATTATTGAAATTATTTAATGATTGTGTTAAATTGAGAATCATTAGATTTGGCTGTATTCATCATAAATTAGATGGTAGTGGCATATTATCGGTTTTAAGTCAATCATCACCAAAAAGTTTAAATACTATAATTTTCGATTATGGTATTTTTGGTGTTTCTATTTCTCGGAGTTCACTTGAAAATTTAATGAGGAATTGGAAAGGATATAGACCTTTCAAATTGAAATTATATGCATTTACTAATGGTAGATTGGAGGATTTATTAAAAAAATATCAAAAACTAGGATTGTTAAAATATCAATTTGTAGATTTTCAATTGTTTTCTGAATTGGATTTTTTTAATGATTTAAATAATTTAAATTTATTTCTCTAGCAATTAAAAAATGTAAAAAATCTACTTTATATTTAATAATAATAATAATAATAATAATAATAACAATAAAGATATAATAATATAATAACAATAACAATTAATTCTTCTTTTTTCCTTTGCTATTTGGTGCCCAAAGTTTTATAGTACAGTCAGCCGAACAACTTGCTAATATTGGTTCAATGGGATGAAAATCTACTGCATACACAAAATCAGTATGACCTTCCAATCTTTGAATTAACTCTCCCGTGCCCTATTCATATATATTATATTGGGATGTAAATATATATATGCATGTGTGAACATAGATTATTATTTTAAATATTTTAATTTTACCTCCGGACCACCAACATTGAATAAATATGCATACGCATCTGCACTTCCTGTAGCTAATAACAAACTTGCTTCTAAAGGCTTATCTTTTTCATATCTATGTTTGAAAGTGAGAAAAGTAAATTAATTGGAAACCAATTATTCTGCCAATTAGAAATCAATTAATACTGACGTAGTACTATCTGCAACATCATCCACCAATTCAACACTGTCATCATATATATCTTTGAGATTAGTATATTGTGGTATAGTATATTGATCTATAGACAATAAATTCATTCATTAATTAAGAAATTGTCAATTAATTAATTCCAATAATAACAATAACAACACAAAATTTACTTACGATCTTTTCCAATAAAAAATGAGCTTTTGATTGGCCATCCTTTATTTTTATATCCTTTTAATAGATGGATTAACCGAGGTTGAGTTTTTGGTGGCTCAATTCCACGATCATACATCCTTATTACTGTTGTTATTCCAATAAATGTAAAAGCTTCTTTGATAAATATATTTAAATTTCCATATATATATATATATATATATACAAACACACACTTTTCTCTTACCATTATCGTAACTGTTAACTGCCATATATCTGGGTTCATCATCATCTATATATATACACACATGTATATATATAATTAGAAAATAAAAAGAGGATGGAAAAATATTTTTATTGGATTCATTTTATTTTGTTCTCTCTCTTTCTAGGTGAAAAAACATACTAAAACTTTTTCGTGGAATTGCTATATGAGAAATAGGTTTTTTGGTTTGTTCATTGAGAATTGATTGAAATGCCAATCCTTTTATATCAATCAATTAATGCCAATTAATTAATATTCTTCTTAAATACAATCGATTGATTATAATAGAAACAAACCATTTCTAATATCCCAGGTTTTCAAGAATCCCATGGAATCACCAGTAATAATATTTTGACCATCTTGACAAACATACAAAGAATTTATCATCCCTTCATTTTTCAATTTGATGGAATTTTCTGATTTTCTGACATCAATAACTGTCAAAATTTTGCGTGATGTACCACTAACAAATACATTATTATCTAATAATAATAATAATTGATATTATATTTATATGACGTTAATCAAGTTAATAATCATTAGATAAATCGATACATATATTTACCTTGTGGATTAAACATTACACACTGAACAAAACCTTCACTTTCAAATGAATGTATGTATCTGTTTGTCTCAATATCCCATAATTTACATGTCTGATCATATGCTCCTGATAACACTGAATTAGAATCATTTGACCAACAAACATCCGATACATTTAATGTATGTCCTTTCAAACAAGCTTGCTATATTATTATTTTTATTAATAATCTCAGTAATTATCATCATTATCATTACTGAACACACAAGAAAATAATTACCTCTTTTTGTAAAGATACAGTATCCCATATTCGAACTGTTTTATCAAATGACCCCGATGCAAGCATTTTGCCACAAGGCGAAAAATGTATTGCATAAACTGCTCCGACATGTCCCTTAGATTAGTTGATTATATTAGAAAAGAGTTAAATGATTAGAATATTAGACAATTGTGTAATTTAATAAAAAATTTTTTTCATCCACTAAATCAATCAACCTTAAATTCAGATTTTGGATGAAAAGTTCTTCCTTCTCGATGTTTATCACGTGTACCATTCCCTATATTGTAATAAATAATATATATAAATGTTATGTATATAATATAAATATAAATGTATGTGTGTATACATTCTCATGTAGATTACTATCACTATTACTAAAAATTATATATTTTGGATTACTTTGGTTAGATCAACTTGGGAAAAAAATCTTTACATTGTTATTAGCAGTTATTATCATCATCATCATCATCATCATCATTATTATTACTATTATTATTTGATTATTTTAAAAAATAATAATAATAATACCTTTTTTCTTTTAAAGATCCTTTACATACATACATACATACATACATAACACACATACATATATCATACATTATAATTAGATATTTATATTTTTACCCACCAGTTGAATTTTCCAAATTTATTTCCTTGATTTCTTTCCCACCATCTTGTACTGGTTCATCCTGATCAAATATTGTAAAATGCCCTATTTTTTGATGATAACCAACCGTTGTATACTTCACTGATAAATCATATATGGATTTTTTTAATAACTTATTTTCTTTTTCTAGTGCATCGACTTTTTGTTTAAGTACTTTATTCTCTTTAAGTAATTTATCAGAATTTTCACGTTCTAATGATATTATTGCTGTAGACTTTTTTATCGGCGCTTCCATAATAACTAAATAATATAATAATAATATAATGGCAATGGTTTCAATTACTACTTCTACTTCTACTCTACTTCTACTAACACTTAGCGGAGAAGATTATTCATCATCATCAATCACACAAACGATTTTCAGATGTTTTTTCCGAAATTTTAAGTAATCGACATCGCCACAAACCCTTTTTTGTTATTTATTCCTTCTTTTGGATGATTATCAACCAAATTACCGCATTTGGAATCACTTACCTCTTTTTTGGTATTATGACTGATGATCTCCTACCTACATTTTTTCCTATGTGATAAAACAAACAATCCACATACCCACACGAAAACTTGCAACCATTCATCAAGTTTATAAAGGTAAATTAGTTTGAAGTGAAATGTCATGCTGTTTTTGAATAGCTATAGTTTTACATCAATATGAGGAAGAGGAGGATTTCATTAGAAAGCTATAAATAGCACACAATTTATAAAAGCAGATATTAATATCCATAATAAAAAAAAATTCTGGTCATATTCTCATGTGAAGAATAGATTTTGTAAAATCTAATAAACAAACAGCATAACAAACAGTACTTCATTAATTATACTAATGGATAACAATAATGATAATGAACCATATAAATAAATTCAGATAAAGTGAAAAGAGATGTGGAATTGCTGATCTATGAATGAATAGTAAAGTCTTAAATATTACATACAGCCCTTTAATTTTTTTATATAGAATTATTATTTGAATTCATTCTGTGGCACAAAAAGTATGATACAACTTTTTTCATTATAAAAGTCATTTATGGCACTAAAAGAATAATGATACAACTTTTTGTAATCAAGTCAAAGCACATTTTGGGATGAAATCTCTTTGAATTATAAAAAAAAAATAAAAAATCACATTTTTAGCAAAACTTGCTTGCCAATTTCTATGACCTTTCAGTCATGCAGAAAATTTATTAACTCTAAGAGGTCACATTTAATTTGAAATGCAATTTATATTAAATCTATCTACCCGCCCATCAAATTAATTTTGAATGCAATCTTCAGATTACCATGATCATCCAATGAAATCCAACAATGTATTATAGTAAACTCAAACTCCATTATTAAAGTAAAACGAATTGTTCCATTAAAGCTTTCTAATGAATACCTTTTCATATTGAAAGATCTTCTCTAAATAAACACACAGCTTCAAAGCTCATATTATTTTTCAATATCACTTTAAAAGACCTATAGTGGCTAAGAGGGTGTAAAATACTTTAAGCTTTCATATGGTTATTACTCTATAAAGACGTTGATATTATAGGAAAAACTTAAATAAATCCACTTTTTAGTTAGTATATTTTATAAAACTTTTTTTGGAAGGTATCATAAATTGATTTATCTTTCTTGCACTATTAAAAAAGATAGATTACAAAAGTACGAAACAAATATATATAATTTAGTCATTATCACTAACTTTGATTATTGGAGTTATAAACTCCAGAAGGAAACCATCTTGTTTTAACAATAATGGATAGCAATGATCAAGGAATTGATGATTAAGTTTTCAATATGACTCCAATCATTATCCTGTTATAAATCATAATAATGATTACAAAAAAAAAAAAAAAATAAGTCATTCATTATATTTAACGTCGTCAAGTAGATCCCTGACATCTAGGAGTTTCCCTTGTAAATGATAAACACTTCATTCCTTATATATGTCTAACTATCAAAACCTGCCAATGCAATTCTTTACATTGAGTCAAAAAAAGAATATATTCTTGACATCTAGTTCTAGAATATTGATGGAATACAATCATCATATAGCAAATTAACTAGAATAATCATCACCAATATATTTTTTTAAACTAGAATAGAATAATGTTCTCATGCTCTAATAATGCTTGTTGCTTTTTTTAAAACTCTTTTCTTATTCATTATTACTTATATTGGGCGTGCGATGGACAATTTCAGTGACATCCAGGATGTCATGATATTGGCCGTTGCATGCCCAATATCTTATACATATCTTAAATTTAATATCGAAAAAAAAACAATTGTTTTTTTTTGAATTAAAAAAAATAAAAAATAAAATTTTTGAGAGTTTAATAAAAAACAATTCTTCGTGAATATTTATGTATTGACTAATGATATACGACGTGATGAAAGTACTGACTAAAGGTAGTTTCTTTCCAAAAGCTATTTTGACGATTTGACAAAATTAAAAGGCATTGAAAATTGTTGATGAAAGTAAAAATTAAAATTTTTTATTTTACAATTTTTTATAAAGTAAATATGCTGAAATTGATTTTTTCATTTAATAATATACATCATATTATTATCATTATTAGACACAGAATTTCCATGCGTATTTGGCCTTAGCTTCACCTGATTCATTCATTGTCGTACTGTATAGACCTTCTCTCCCTCCACTTGCACTCTTAATAAATACAATTTTTGTAAAAAAAAAATTGAATTTTTTGAACACGAACTAAAAAAGGATTTTTGTAACCAAATGAAAGAGTGACTATATATATTTGCGGTTAGATGGATCCATTCAAACAAAAACTTGATTGTCACGAAACATAAAATAAAAATATTTATAACAAAATAGGTTAAAGATTAAGATAATTATTAATTAATTAAGGAGATCAAATTGTTGAAAAAGGCTTGATTTAATTAAATGATATATTTTTTTTATCATAATTATAAATACAACCCTTGAACATTTCAAAAAGTTTGGGAGGATAAAAGACCTTGACGATCAATTTTTAAATTCACGCGTGTGAAAATTCAAATTAGCAATCAATTTTGTGAAACCTTTTCTTTCGGAAATTTCCATAGTAATAGTATTATTATCGTCAAATATTGCCAATTCTTTCTAAATTGTTACAAAGTATCTTGTATTGATTTAATTGAGTTGTGTTCTTTCAACGCGAAATCATTTTTGGAAAAACAATTTATTCTAGACGGAGTCGGTCGACAAACACACTAGAAGAAGTATTATTGGTATAATTGATTTTAAAGAAGAGTTAAAACTAACCAGAGGTACTTTTTTTTTGTATTGACATCTTCTCTTTTTATAAATATCTTATTACGAATATGATTGATTTAATCAAAATATGGAGCAAGATTTGTCATGTCTTCTATGCAGTGTTGAAATTTCGTTGTGTAACTAGTACAAATTTAGAAACTATCTCCAAAAATTAAAAAATTGATTGGTGTGTAATGTTACACGCGGGCATTGCATTGAATTTTCAATACTGCTTCTATGTAATTATTATATCAAACTAATGAATGAATGGTTGGTGTATTTGCTAATCATTATTAATATTAAGTATAATAATAAATCACAAGAAAGTGTTAAAGGTCAAGGAAACATTATTGTTGAAGAGGAAAAACTGTTATAGTTAATTTGAAAATTTACAGATTTTGAAATACACTACTTTGAATATTACAGTAATTCTCATCTTCCTCGTGTGCATAAAGCTAATCTGACCTCATCTCCTGATGATAATACAATGATACAACCAAATTTCAGGGGGTGTGTGGCCCTGGAATTTATTAAAGCTGCATCATTATCAAAGACATTTTCGTGAATCCTGATCTTCCCTCGCAGCACCTGAACTGGCATTATCCGGATAAGCATGCTAGTCAAAAAAGTAGCCAGACTTCTAAGGTAAAGATGGCTCTGCAACTAAGAAATTGTCACCTAGGCTGCAGCATTCTGAAGAGTTGTAATATTAGGAATCTGCAACTTGTTTCAGGCTCAGGATATTACAATTCAGTGAATGTGTGAACAATTGGAAATAGCTCTCAGTCTAAGATAAGTTAAAGAAAAATAACCATGGTTTCTACTTTTGCCATCCAGCGAGGCAAATTAATTGATAAACTTTACTTTTATATATGTAAAACCAATTATAGATTATTATTTAAACTTCTGCCATCCAGCAGTCGCTAATATCCACAAAGTTTTATTAGAGGCAAATCTTTAATGTAGCAATTTATTACCAATGAAAAAGTCTATTTTTTTTAATATTACAATTTTATAAGAAATTGTAAAGAGCAGTGTTTATTTTTTATCAATTAGATAGAAATCGACGTTTTCATTTTAAATATTTATAATACTTCATTTATTTAATATATAATAATAATTTAATTATTCGGTTTATATATATATATATAATAGGTAAACGTTCAGGATTATGATTCGCATAACGGTATTATATATCATTTATGATTTTAAACATAAATGTTAATTGCTTATATTTCAAATTTGCTGTGATCGACGTTATACATACCATAAAAATTTATGAACTTTATTATTATTATTGTTATATATATATTTATCGATGTCACACGATGGCACATGACAAGGAATGGAATGAATCATCAATCTGATTTTAATTTTGAAAAAAAAATTTTGATTATGTGAATGATTAAAAATAACATTGAAAGTATATTGAAAAATATTTCATCGATATTATTAAATAATAACTTATTTCTGCGAATTAATCATAATTATAAGAATAGAAACCCTATATATTCTTATTATAAGCAATATTTTCATTCTCGTAATCACAATCATCGACACACTATTAAACGACAATACCTTAATTATTCAAAGTATGTAAATCATTATTATGTTGATTATTATATTGAATCATATTTGATTAATCAATCATTTTCAAAATTTCAGTAATACTCAAAAGGCCATCATCGGCGGCGAATTAGTAAAAGGTGTGTAATAATAAAATGCTGGCGACAATATGTAATCATTACAAATATTATATTATATAATAAATATTAAATTTATTATTTGATTTTAAATTTTTTTTGAACTTTGAAAAAATAAAAAAAAAATAAAAATTTTTTTCATTTAAATGAATGATACTTGATACAGAAATTGGAGAAAAAAATAAAAAAATGACAATTAAAACAACAAAACCAATTCCTGATTTTCCTACATTTGGTTTACTTCCAAAAGAAGTAAGTTAAAAAAAAAAATTAAAAACAAAAATAAAATAAAAAAGTTTGGGCGCGTTAATTTATTTCTTCTCCTTTACATCATCCTAAAACTAAAGGAAACTGAAGCTGCCTCTTTCATTAAAAAACATCCTGAATATGATGGCCGTGACACTATTATTGCAATATTGGATACTGGTGTTGATCCTGGTGCCGCCGGTCTTCAGGTATACAAAAATAATAAATAATTATTATTTATTGTTGAAAGCAATGCTGAAAGTTCCTTTTCTATATTTAGGTTACTACTGAAGGAAAACCAAAAATCATTGATTTGATTGATTGTACTGGAGCTGGTAAATACACATATATTTATTTACAAATATTATAACAATATTCTTAATTATTCCTAATATTTTTATTTTTTAATCAGGCGATGTAATCACAAAAACCATCGTTAAATCTGTAATTAAAGATGGAGGAAGTGAAGTTTTGTACACCATTCAGGGTTTATCGGGCCGTACTTTAATCATTGATCCTGATTGGAATAATCCATCTGATGAATTTCATATTGGAATGAAAAGAGCTATTGAAATTTTTCCAAAACCTTTGGTTTCAAGATTACAAAAAGTATTAACATAATATAAAATACATTATACATTGATAATTTATTATTATTATTAATATTAATTACGTAAAATATGCATGTTTATTGATTTTTTAATTAGGAAAGAAAACAAAGGATTGAAGTTGATCATCAAAAATATATAGCGGAAATTCAACAAAACCTTGCTTTATGGGAAGAAGAACACCCACCATCTTCCGGTCCATCTGAAGCCGATGTTTTAATTAAATCTGATCTTGAAGCTAGATTGGACGTTCTAAAAGATTTATTCAGGAACTATGAAGATCCTGGTATGATTTTTGATGTCGTTACCTTTTTTGATGGAAATGATTGGCGTGTTGTTATAGATATCGATGAATCTGGCGATTTAAGAGGTATTTATTTTACTTTATTTGTTAATTGATATATGGATTTTTGTTAATGAATAATAAAATTTTTCACGAAATTTAAGGTGGTCCATTATTAACTGATTATAGGAAAGAAAGACAATATCATACATTTAGTCAAGAAGATTTACTTAATTTTTCGGTCAACATTTATGATGAAGGAAATCTTGTTAGGTGATTTTAATAATATTAATAATATTCATTATAACCATTATTATTATTAATAATTAATTTATTGGAAAAAAATAAACAGCATTGTAATGGTTTCGAGCACTCACGGCACTCATGTTGCTGCCATTGCTGCGGCAAATTTCCCTGATGAGCCAACATTAAATGGGGTATTTAATTTAATTAAAAAATAAAATTTAATGTAATGATTATTGTAAATCTGTTTTTGTTCAAATTTTGTTTTCTCACACTATGACAAAATTTTAGGTTGCGCCTGGAGCACAGGTAAGATTTTATATTTTTCTTTCTTTTATTTAATTATAAATATATACATAACTAATGTAAATGCAATTTATTGTTTAGATCGTTTCACTTAAAATTGGTGATGTTCGGTTGGGAAGTATGGAGACAGGAGCTAGTTTAGCAAGAGCAGCCATGGCTTTAGTCAATACTAAAGCCGATGTTGCTAATATGAGTTACGGCGAGGTTACCGCTGTACCAAATTACGGCCATTTTTCTAATTTGATTCGCGATGAAGTTATTGGAAAATATGGTTGTATTTTTGCTTGTAGTGCTGGTAATAATGGTCCGGCATTAACTACTAACGGTTCTCCCGGTGGTACTACTAGCGGTGCGTATATATTATATTAATCATTATATTAATACACACATATATATTTATGGCGTTAATTAATAAATACTATTATTATTTAAATAGACATAATTAGTGTTGGTGCATACGTTAGTCATGCTATGGTTAAGGCTGAATATGCTCTACTTGATTCTGTTCCTGAACGAGCCTATACATGGAGTTCTCGAGGTCCAGCTACTGATGGTGATGTAGGTGTAACTATCTATGCTCCTGGAGGGTATTTATTTATTTTATTTTTATGTCAAAACAATTTAATTAAATACAAAAAATAAGATGGTTTTAATTTTAATTTCTAATATTTCCTTAAATTATAGTGCAATCGCATCAACTCCACCTTATTGTTTACAAAAATCGCAATTAATGAATGGAACCTCTATGTAGTTAACCTTAGTATTCTTTCATTTTTCCACATCAGGAATAATTAAATAAAAAAATTATTATTAATTATAGGTCTTCGCCTAATGCAACTGGCTGTATTGCATTATTATTATCTGGTCTTAAGGCACAAAATAAAAAGTACACTCCATATAGAATAAAAAATGCTATTGTTAATAGTGCAAAATCTGTTGATGAAACTTTTGATGTTGGCATGATTCAAGTTGAAAAAGCATGGGATTATCTTCAGAAATTTTATGATCGTTCAGATCAAGATCAAACTTTTCAGGTGATTTATCTATATACCTAATTAATTATTATTAATATTTCCTTTTTTTAAGAAAAAATCGAATCAACTCTTTTTTTCGTTGTTCTTTTTTTCGCGTTAATTTCTTAAATTGAAGATTTTGATTCCTGATAGACCAAGATATAAACGTGGTATTTATTTGAGAGAAGCTAACGAAACATCAAGTGTACAAGTAATTTCAGTTGAGGTTAAACCAAAATTTATTAAAGAAATTGAACCAACATCTGGTGAAAATAACACAAAAAAATTTGATTTTGAAAGTCGTTTGGCTTTAATTAGTACACGTCCATGGGTTCGTTCACCTGATTTTTTATTTTTGGGAAGTCAAGGTATAATATATGTATATTTGTTGGAAAAACTTCAAAGATTGATCAATATTTTTTTATAATATGTTTTCTATTTTGTTTGTTTGTTTAGGGCGAACTTTTGATGTTAAAGTTGATCCTACACAGTTGACGCCTGGTGAATTATATTATGCAGAAATTCAAGTAATTATTCAAACACAAATATATTTATATTTATAATTATAATTATTCACATTTAATTATTTAATTTAGGGCTATGATACAACATGTTCAGAACGTGGTCCACTATTTAAAATACCAATTACAGTTGCCAAGCCTGAACTTTTAGATAATTCAAAAATTGTTTATGACAATTTAAAATTTTTGCCTGGTCATATTGAAAGAAGATTTTTGAGAGTTCCAAAAGGTGCAACATTTGCAGGTACCAAATCAAAATATTAATATTATAATTGAACATTAAATACATGTAGGTTGATGTAACATATATATTCATACTCACGCGCATTTATTATTATTTATTATTTATTATAATAGATGTGACTTTGAAATTTTCCGTAACACCATCCTCCACACCAACACGGATGTTGCTACACACAATTCAATTATTGCCACAAAAAAGATTCACTTGTTATGAGAAAAAAGATTTTTTTACTATTAATAAAACTGGTTTTAATGATTGTGGTGATGATAATTATCATATTGAAAAGAAAAGGTTTGTTGTCCGTGGTGGTGTTACGATGGAGGTTAGTAATTGATTGACTGATTGATTGGGCTGTATTGGCAATTATTAGTATTATTAGTAACGATTATTGTCAAATTTTTTTCTTTAGTTTTGTTTGGCTCAATTTTGGTCAAGTTTAGGAAATAGCAATGTATCAGCTGAAATTGTCTTTCATGGAATTGAAATCACCAACACCACTACAAATGGAGGCGAAACTGTTTTTGTTAACGGTGGTTGTCCTTTTACGCGTTTGGAAATTACTGCTCCAATTAGGAGAGAAGACGAAATAAATCCATCCATATCTCTTGGTAAAAATAAATAACAATTAATAATAAAATAATTTAATCTATTTACTCATTTATTTCTTTATTTAATAGATGTTCTTCGTAAAGCTATAAGACCTTCTGAAATGTCACTTAAACCATTAAGCCCAACTCGAGATGTCATTCCTTCTTCTAGGCGATCTTTTGGTTTGATACTTACTTACAAGTTTACTACCATTGATAAAAATTTATCATTCACGCCAAGATTTCCAGCATTCAATCATTTATTGTATGATTCTTATTTCGAGGATTTTTTTGCCATAAGTAAGTTTAATTTTTATTTGTTTTTTTTTTTGGAAAATAAAATATCTTAATTTTTAATTTTATTTATAATATATGTTAGTATTTGATGCCAACAAAAAAGTTATCGGGTACCTTGACATTTATCCGAGCACTTTTAAACTAGAAAGTAAAGGTGATTATGTGATTAGAGCACAAGTTCGTCATCAGTCTCAACCAATCTTGGAAAAATTAAATAATACTGTATGTTTGTTAGACTTTAATCTTTCAAAAAAAGTTAGCCTGGACGTATATAATCAAATCTCGGATGTTTTCACTTCGAGTAAATCTACAGTTGGTAGATTGGCATTGGAAAAAGGTTCTAGACAGGCATTATTTATTGGTTCACCTAATGACTATTCATCTTATCCAAAAGATGCAAAACCTGGTGATATTTTAACAGGAAAATTGAATTTTATAAATAATTCTGCAAATAGAATTGATGGCGGTCAAAATTTTATTAATTTAATTATTCCACCTGCTCCAATCAAACCTAAAGAACTAATACCAAGTGATAATAATCATGCTACTGCTGGTGATAATAGCGGTGGTGATCCTGGGAAAGATTCAGGTTCTGATGATGTTGATGTTGCTCAATCAACAGAAATACCACCACCACCAATTGAGAAAACTAAAGAAGAAAAGGCAATTGAAAATTTGAATGAAGCAATTCGTGATGTACAAATTGCCAATTTAAAAAAATTTCCAATTGATTCCAGTTATCTTACTGATCTACTTTCAGAACTTGAAGATAAATATCCAAAGCATTTACCACTTTATCAAGCTAAATTAGAAATATTTTTGGAAACTGCCAAATCTTCTACTTCTAATACTAATACCACAGAATTAACAGTAGAAAATGCAAAAATAGTTATAGACACAGCAGATGAATTATTATCAAAGATTGATTTGCTTGAATTGGCACGATATTATGGAGTTAAACAAGAAACAAACGTTAATGAATCGGCTAAAAAAATCAAAAAGGAAAATGATGAAAAAAAGAAAGCGGCAGTATTAGCATTACGTTCTAAAGCTCAGGCTTTAATGGTTCTTGCACAAAAAGCTGCTGCAACAAATAAAAATGGTTTATTGGAACGATTTGAAGAAACTTATAAATCTTTAATACAATGGTTAGATTCTATTCCACCAACTTCAGATATAAAAAACTTGCTTGTTTACATTAGTAGGGAGCGTCAAGCAAAACGTTATGGTAATGCACTTAAAGCCATTAATAAATATTTTGCTGAGAATAGCCTTACCAATGATAGTACTAGAGATTATGAGAAGTTGTTTGATATAAAATTTGATATATTGAAAGAAGTTGGTTGGACAATTTGGGAAAATAATGAGAAAAAATGGAAATTGATTAGAATACCACCTTCAGGTTATCCGTCATTTTAAATAAAAATTCTAAAGAAATATAAGAAAGAGAAATCTATTGTATATTTATCTTTTACTTTTGTTTTACATATAATTTATTTATTTAGAATCAAATAATTTCTATTTATTTGTAAATTTCTTTGATTAATAAATATTTAAGAATTAATGATAATATAGATAGTGTTATTATTATTACAGTCAAACCTTGTCACAGCGGACTATAATTAAATTCTTGTCACAACGGATTTTGAATAAAATTTTCTTAAGTGTTCCGTTCATCCTCTGTGACAAGGTTTGACTGTAATGGGACATGCCAACAAAGTGAGCATTATGTCACACAATAATAATGTGTACTTTTTGATTCTTTTCGTATAGAATGACAAGTACAATCTTGATGATTGCTAAAAAGTATTAATCGTGAAAAATTATTATTTCTTCTCAACACATGAAACATTATGTCTCGATCAACACTTTTGATCGTTGTGATCGTTGGACACTTGATAAAAACAACTCAACAAATATTTAATTAATGATTCATCAACCATACCGATCAAGGATTTGTCACGCACACAAAACGATTTTCAAGTGTTTGTTCCGGGATGATAAATAGGGTAAAATCAAATGCTATTTATCACATTGCTTGAACTAAATCCAAAAGAAAAACTTCTTGTTAAAGAAGTTTCAAGTGATATGTAAAGAAGCGAAGAAGTAATTATGGTTGAAATTGTTCAATAAATGGAGAATTTTTCAAGTTTACAAATTTAAGTTTTTTTATGACAATTTACATGCTTCACTATACAATCCATTGGGCTTATATTTCATAATTTATTAATCATTAATCATCATGTTTCATATTTAACAATGATTCTTATACACACAATCAACCAAAATCAAGACTTCAATGTTGTGAAAGGTTTCAGCAATAAATTCACTTTAATAATTAATAATTCTCTCAAATAATGTACATGTTTAAATTCCATTTGTGCAAACTTTGATAAAGCTTTAATGTCTATTATTAAGACATAAAAAATGTGTGTGCAAAAATGACAACTTTAATAATTATTTGAGTAATAGCATGGCGGTAATAGTGACAAAAATCACCCTACGTTTGTACTTTATAATTTGGCAATATTTTGTATTAAATCATGTAAGGCTCTAATTTTCCAAACTTTAACGCTCGAGAAAATTTTTCTTCATCAATTGATAAGTTTGCTCGGTGAGCTAAGTAACAAATTTCAGATTAATACGAAATAATCATATACAAATCATTACTTCTTCTTTGTCACTCTTTTCACAAATATTGATCAATGTTAAGAATGGTTGACTAAATTGTACATGAGAATCACAATTACGCAATTTCGTTTAAGGGATAAAATTTTGCTAAATATGTAAACTTGAAGTGGGGGTCTCATATGACCGACTTATCGAATAAATATTAAGAAAAAGAGGTGAAAATTTTGGCCGACTTATCGCGAGACCGACTTATCAAGTTTACATATTAATATTAATATGTATGTAAATTCGAATTTTACCATGATGTAGATCATCCAAATTTTATTATGTTTTACAACCATTGGACCTGGTCCAAATGAACACATTAATCGCCGGTTTCACAAAAAAAATTCTAAAGTTTAATTTTTTTAAAATTCCGCCCATACAATACTGTATATATTACAGCATCAAACGAAAAGGAATCATTAGGCACTTTATTGTTTTTGTAAAACTAAATTAACAAATACTAAAAAATTGGTAACTTCTCACTTAAAAAATTGTACAATCTTCAAGTAACAATATACTGAACATGAACAAGAGAAAATTCTTTTTCCTGGAGATGAGAATAATCAATATGATGGTGGTAATTTTTTAGTAACTTTTTTTATTGAGATAAATATAATTATTAAGCAAAATGAAACTTACAATTTTATATTTTGAGGTCCTGAACTTGATTCCTCATCTTCAATATGCACCAATGGATCTTCAAGCCTTTCAATTTTATCAAGTTCATCAACAGCCTTGTCTGTAGAAAATCAGGTAATAAAAAAAGAAAAATAAGTGATTATTTTGCTCATTCTGTTCCTCTTTCTAAACAAGATAAAGAGCATTGGGAAAAGTTTGTATTGGATTCTACCATAGATAATGGTTGATCATTCAGATGGGTTGACAAAAAATCAATTCAAATATTATTTAATTTTGCAAATCCAGGATTGAAATTACCAAACTGTAAAATACTAGCTAGTTTATTTTAACTAGTAATTCTGATAAAATAGGAATAGTTTAATTGACACTGCACAGAAGGATTTTTATGGTGTTACAATAGGCTTTGATGGGTGGAAAAATTAAAAAGCAGGAGATTTTAGGTTCAGTTTTAATTACTTCACATGGACAAATTTTAATTTGGGGAGGAGAAGATGTGAGTAGAAATTGTTTGCAATGGCAAAATATAAAAGAATTATCATTGAATTTTTTGGGCAAGTTAGATGAACTAAATATCAAATGTAATGCTATGATTACTGATTCAGCATCATAAGATCAAGCAAGCATGATACTTTTTTTAAAAATAAATTTTTATTCAATTATTTGTAAGTTTAACTTTTATATTTTGTAGAAAATGACTGGCACCAGAATGACATGATGTTTTTTTGGTCCTTGCTTTGCACATCAAACCAATTTAATTGTGGGAGAGATTATAAAGAATCATCTAGCTTAGTTACTTCATCTGAAAAGACAATTCAAATTATTTCTTTCTTAAACAGATCAGTTTACTTTATGGCAAAGTTATGTGATGAACAAAAGTTTAAATATAACAAATATTTTACACTTCTCCTTCCGTGTGCTACTTGCTGGAATTGTCATTACCAGAACTAAGTTTGCTTTAAATGTATTTAAAAAATATCATTAAAGGTTTTTTATTCAAATAAGAATTAATTATTATATTTATTTAGATGCTTGTTTCAAAATACACTCCTAGTGAATTTGAAGCAGATGATAATTATACAGTAAATGATGATAATGATAGAGAATTGCCACTTGAAACCTGCAGAATAATTGCTAATGAAGATTGGAAAAGCTTTTGCTTCCATTTTGTGGTGCACTCAACAAATTACAAACAGATAATGCTTGTCTCCATGATGTACTACATTGATTTACCTATTTTTACAAGATGTAGAAGGAATATCCTGACCAAAATTTAAGTGCAAGAATGATTATTTGTCTAGAAAAACATTGGCAAATATGGGAGTAGCCATTATTATTATCCTTAATTCTTTATATTGAATATTGTGACAAAATTTTCCTTCAAGATAATACACTATTTTTATTGCAAAACTCAGTGAATGGATGATATATTTTGTGTATGGTTTAAAAAAGCTCTTGATATTTTGTTAGACAAATTACAAAATTTTTTCTTATCATAGTCAAAATTTTCCTTCTCACAATATTTCATTAAATCAATTTAATGATGGTGTATTTGGCTTTTGGGCTTTTGTTTTGGTGTTTCAGCTTATACACCAGATTTGAGTGTTTTTTCTATCAAAGTATTTGCAATATGCATAAATACTGTTTCTGTGGAAAGGCTCTTTTCTATAATGGATTTTTCCACACAAAAAAAAGAAATTGTTTGGATTTATGTGAGTTTTATATTTTTTTATATATTTTTTGACTATAATTATTAAATCATCTAATTTTTTTTTTTATAGTTTGAAAAGGTCTTTGCTGTGAGTTAAATGAAAGGAGAATTTCAGAGATTAGATAGAATAATTAGACAATATTCAAAATTCAAACAAAAAATTTAAAATACAGGTATTGCTAATTCCAGAACAAACAGGTGAATTGTTTATGGTTTCTGATGATGATGATGATGATGATGATAGAAATGATGATTTTTTTAATAATGATTTTGAATAATCTGAGCATGATATTGAATCACCTTGTGAGTGGAGAAATTTAATCAATGAATGGATTGGAATGGTAGAAGAAGAAGAGGAGTAGGAGTAGGAAGAGTAGGAGGAAACAGAGGATGATAATTATAATGATGAATTAGGATTTCTTATTGGTCAAACAATAGATTGTGAAAACAAGACATCCACTTCTTAATAAAAAAACCAAGTGGAATGATATTTTTGATTTGGAAAAAATTGAGCCTCCTATATATTTATCTTCATTAAGTGGTATTTTTTTTTAATTTTATTTTGTTTATACTTGAATTGATTTATTCACCATGTATATTAATTTAACTCTTCTTACAGGTCATACAAATTAATTGATCTTAGTTTTTTTTTTTGCACTTTCATTCTTTTATTAAAATTTTATTTTAAAGATGTGTCGTGTAACAATCCTCGAAATTATATGTCACACAAATGGCATTTAATTTTATTACCATATTTGGTAAGAGGAACTCCTATTTTTTTTTATCGTTTAATTTAAGTTACTTGGCAATCGGGATTTTTGGTGAAGAATTATACATATTATTATTATTATTATCATTATTATTTTTATTAAGAAAAGTGGATATTATATTGTTATGTTATATTGTGGGGAATATAATCATATTATTATTTTTATTTATATTATTTATAATTAAGAAGTTATCTTTAATTATGATCAATACTTTCCGGGAAGTCTATAAGCTTCCATACAATATATAGATTATATATTTATTTATTTTCTTATGATTTATATTTGTATTTTAAGAACTGTATTTTTATTATTTAAAGATGTAAAATTCAAACAAATAAAGATAATTTTTATATACAGTATAATTTTACAACAATAAAATTATCAGTTCATTAACAGTATTAAATAATATCTAAACGTTTGTAAATAATTGTGATAATTATTTGAACGTTTACACTACCACTAATATACCACCATTTAGCAAACCAAACAAAAAGAGCTTTAAGCAACTATTCAACATCAAAACTAACAAACTTCCTGATTCATACACAAAAGTATTACCTGTATTACCAGAAAATCCTGGAGAATTAACAGTGGAATGGAAAAAGATCTTCCCAATCAAAAAATATTCAATGTTAAAGGAGTTAAGGAAAATAAGAGAAAAATCAAGGGTATAATATTTTTTCTCAGGAAAATTACTAGATACATATTTTAACCTTACAAAACCAAGAGAACCTCTACCATTTTCTCTAAAAGGTCTACCAAATCACTTGGCACAATATTTCCAATTCAATTTAAATAGAACAGAAAAAACTCTTTGAGAGATAGTAAATGAATTAAGAGAATACTACTTATTCCAAAAATTACCAAACAATTATTTTACTCCTAAACCAAGGCTACCCAACTCACCAGATAAAACAACTTTTAATTATAACTTTCCAATCACTGAACAAAATACTGTCAATGAATTCATCAAAGAAGCAAGAAGAAAATATGAAATCACATTCTCTATTAATAAAAAATGGATAAATGTTCCAAAAATAAACCTCTTCTTCCTAAAAACATCAAGGAACTGGATGTTCAATTCATGTTAAATGAAGAAAAAATTCTGCCGATTACAAACAAAACTAATATAAAAAATATGGTAATAAAGCTAAGTAAAAAATATTTCTTTGAAAGGATACCTGATGAGTGGATATCAATAGAAAAGGCAAATGACAATATTGATACATCTGTTTTAGAAAATGATACCAAAATTATAATACCAAACATAGAAAAAAAACAGTTACTTGATTTAACAATAACAAAAGAACTTAACAATTATAACGTAGAAATTACAATACCTATTACTGATGACAAAAAAATTTATCAAACAACCCAATCTTAAAAAAACTTTACATCTTCAAATACCTCCCAGACACATTTATTAATCTTCCACCAATCCCAGATCCAGGCTGAGATTCAATTATTTTCTAATATACAATCAACAAAATCTACAATCACTATCAAACAAAAACAAAAACAACAAATTAAACAACAATCAACCACTATTATCACACACAAATGATATATCAAATACATTTTTAAAACATTAACAGAACACAACATAAAAGACATTGAAAAAATATCTAAAATTAAAATAGCAACACAAAACTTAAATGGACTTAAAGATATACACAAACAAACCAATTTATATAATGAACTAATAAAATTAAACATTGACATTTTTGGAATATCTGAAATGCATCTTTCAAATCAAGAAGCAAGATATAGTGAAATATAAAGCTTATACACAACAAAGGAATTATCAAAGTTATTGGAGCAACAGCCAAAATCCATATGGTAATGCCAATAAAGGAGGGGTTGGTTTTATTATCAAAACAGAAACAGCTAAACATATTGTTAAAGTCTCAAAACATTCACCCCACTTAATATGTGTTACTCTTTTGCTTAAAAGATTAAAGTTAAATATAATACAAATCTACATACCCACAAAAGAAAAAAAAGGAGGAAAGGAAAAAAACTATAGATACCATAATTGAATGGATCACACATAATAATGATAATAAAACTCTCACAATTATAATGGGAGACTATAATGCAGTATATAACCCATCAATAGATAGAATTCCAAATGGAAAAAAGAATTTAATCTTCTAAAATACTTCAGTAACAATAATTTCATAGATATATATAAGCTACAATCACTTCAAGATTATACATGAGGTCGAAATTAAAACCCCAAAGCCGAATGTTTCAACTTGAAGCAACTACATAGTAAAAATCGGTTTCGACCTTATTTCGACCCTATTTTGACCAGATCTGCAAATGGTCAAAATAGTTTTGACTTCACGTATATTCAAGATACCCCACATACATGGAAAAGATCAAATTCAAGCAGTTGTATTGATATGATATGGATCAGTAAGGAACTCATGGGAATGATACAAAATATATTACCACCAACAGAAACATCTATTAAATCAGACCATAAATTACTACAATATTCACTCATTACAATAAAAAAACAAACCAGTTTGAAGAAACATATGAACCATTCAATGACCCATCTATCTTAATGAACATTTTAAATCCACCATCACTTGAAGATATTGAAAGGGTCATAAAACAGCTACCAAAGAACAAAGCAGCAGGTCCATCCAATTTAAACATGAACATTTCATACATGCAGATAGAGAAATACACAAATTGATCCTGAACTCTTTTCTAAAGGCCCAACAACCAAAAAAATTCCAGATAAATGGAAGATGTCTTATCTATACCCAATACCAAAAAAGGAAGACTGGGAATATGACCTAAACAAAACTAGACCTATAGTTATAATGGAACCATGTAAAAAAATACTAACCAAGCTGATCACAAATAGATTAGAAGAAAAAATAAGAAATTTTAATTTATTGAAAGGTCACAACTTTGCAGCTGAAAAATATACATCAACAATAACACCAATACAAATTCTTAACAATACCATAGAACATGTCAATCAACATAAAATTACCTTCATACATTTTTTTCAAGACATGTCAAAAGCTTTTGATAATGTAGACCATCAAAGACTTAAAATAGCATTAAAATGTATCAACTTACCTCAAAATTTTATAGACTGGTATATATACCTACTGACTGACTGACAAACTAGAATTATAACACCATCAGGACTAACAGAGCCAATAACCATTCAATCAGGTATTGAACAAGGTGATCCACTCTCACCAATTATATGGAAAATATTTTATGACCCTATTTTAGCACATATTACCAACAATTATGAAACAGACCTATTAACAATTAAAACAACTTCACTTGAACAAATAAATATGCCAAATAATCACCATAGTATCTCCACAAAAATCCACCTTTAGCTTTCATGGATGACACAATCTTTATTAGTAAATCAAAGGAAGGAATAGAAAGAATCGCATCTGCTGTAAACCACTTGTATAAAATTAATAATATAAAAGTTAATTGGAACAAATCAGGCCTGCTAATCATCAATAATAAGGATACATCAATACTAGATGATAGCACAGTTATCCAACAAATGCCAAAAAGCAACACCATCTGATACCTTGGCATATATATTACAACAAAACCAACCAAACAAAAAATTTTTGATAAAATCTCACACTTTAACAATTTATTAATGTTCAAAAAAGTAAAACCAGACCAGTTGTCATGCCTATTTAATAAATGTCTCAATCCTATTCTAGAATACTTAGTGCAGATTATAACATTTAATAAAAGAGAAATGAAGAAGCTGGAATCTTCTTACATCAGTATATTAAAAATAAAATTAACTTATCAAAAAATACACCTAATGAAACATTATACAATACATTCACATTCAACTTCACATCACCAAAAAACCTATTATGTATAACCAAAAGCAATTTAATACTAAACAACCTCACATCTCACAATACAATTCTAAAATCCTCTTCAATAATTAGAATAATTGACTGGAACATCTGGAAATTTTTCTGATGCAGATTTACATAATTATTACACTATTTAAATAAGTTTATGACGGGCCTGTAATATTATGCAAATAAGCATACAAAAATTATGCAATTATTACATCAAGTGTAAATATTACATAATTTTTATGCAAATATTACAACTTTACATATTAAAATTTATGGACGTAATATTGTGGCAGAGAAAATTTCCTGATGAAAAACAAAGCATGGTGCATTAACACATGGAAAGATAATCTTTTAAAATTCAAAAAAGAAACAAAATAATTCAATTACCAACACTCTATTTCTATCATCAAAACTAAATATTGATTTTAAAATAAAAGAATTAATCATCACCACACTCTCAAATAGAATGGAGATCCATAATACCATGGAGACAAAATCATTCAAAAAATGTAGGAACAGCTTGAGGAAAACAATATAATTTGTCTATGACAGTTGACCAATGCAAAAGCAACTAAATTACTCCCATGAAGAAACATATATTTAAACACAAAAAACTCCTAGAGGCAAAACACCATCATGGTATAATGACATAAATAATTATTATACAAATAATCAAGAAATAAAAGAAATTGTTAAAAACAACAGGAAAATCTTATTTATTGCAAAACTATAAGTTATTCAAACATAAAAATTGATTACAGGAAGAACAATTGGGCCTTTTTCAAAAAAGACAATAAAATTCATAATGGAAAATTAATTAAACCAACAAAACCAAATAAAGACTCAATCTTAATTAATGTACATACAACACTATCAAAACAAACAGATCGTTTCATCTCCACACCCACCAAAACAAACATTAATATTCCAAAAGAAAATGCTAAATGTATCAGCAACCTAAAAATCAAAAAAGCAAAGAATACATTTATTTGGCATATCATCCTTATGAAGAATTATCTTTCTATTGCTACAGTAACAACAGTCAAGATCAAAATCAAAATAATGATCCAAATACACAAATAACTAATAATAATATTAATATCAAAAGAATAAAAAACATAGTCACAAACACAACTAGCTACAACACTAATTAACATCCACAATGAAATACCAAAATATACACCAAGCAACAAACTTATTTGCTACAGTGATGGTTCCTACATCAATCACAATACAGATACAGCTAGTTCCAGTTTTGGTTGGTTAATCTCAAACTTACATAACAAAATATCATACAAAGCATCCATAAAAAACAGACACACAGCACTAAGAGCAGAATTAGAAAGCATCTTCAACTTCATAATCACAGTTCCAGATAACACACATGCAATTATATGAATAGATAATGCAAGCATCATTAAAAAATTCACAATTAGTCACACAAAATAACATCAAAAATTGGCAAACAATGCTAATGTGCAAAAATCTAATAAAAGAAAAAAATCTCAATATCTCATTTGAAAAAGTCACTAGTTCCAAAAATAATAAAGGTGATCTTCTTAACAAACAAGCTGATAAATTAGCAAAAGAAGGGCATAATATTGATCCTATAACATATAATTATGATTCAATCAAAAATTTTACTGAAGCTAAATGGAATGGGTATGAAATTCTTATCAAACTAAAGTAGGGGTTGGCACCGTTAACCGTTTAACCGCGGTTAACCGGTTAACTGCAATTAAATGGTTAACCGGTTAAGATATTTTTTTAACTGGTTAATTCTTTTTGATTAACTGGTTAAAATTAACCGGTTAATTTAACCAGTTAACCATATATTAATATTTTTTTAATTAATGACTTAATAATAATGATACCACTGCTTGCTACTGCTGCTACAATCTTTTCCTAATAATATGGCAATTCTTTTGTTTTTTTTTGTTCCCATAACCATATGACAAAGCCACATGATTAATTTGTACAATAATGTTCACCTTGTGGCTTCTCCATATTCTCCGTTAACCATAAATTCAACAAAATTCATAAAATTCATAATTCATAAAATTCATAATTCATAAAATTCATAAAAATAAATTCATAGAGTATATTAATTCATCACCTGAAACTTGGAGCCAAGAAAGGTAGAAAAAATATATATTTAAAAAAAGAATTATAAAATTTTATTTATTTTAATAATTAAACAAGCTGAAAATTTATCAGCATTAGATTCAGTCAGAACACACATTACCACCTGCTCCATCTGAAGCTGGTTCAACAATATCATCCAATTTCACCAAAAGAAAAGTTTTGTCAGAAGTGTATTTTCATTTTTCCATTTTTTGCATTTATGCAATTATTAATTCTCACGCATAATAATAAATAATATTGCATTCTTTCATTAGCTCATAATATTGTAACAATGGATGTAACAAGTGAACATTATGAACCATTTAATGAAGCTGAAGATAATGAGGGTTTTGATACTGGTAATATGTCTAATGACACACGAGATAACCTTGGAAGTAATAGAAATATTATTGGGAAAATACGTAATAAAAAATCCAAAACCTGGGATTATTTTGAAGATGATGGAAATAATATTAAATGTAATGTATCAAATTGTGGTTCCAAATATTCAAGAAAATCAGTATCTACATCAACATTGAACTATCATTTAATACATAGACATGAAATTTTTATTCAAGAACAAGTATGTTTATAAATGAATAATTATTAAAGTAAATCTATGTATTATATATAATAATATTTTTTTTTTTTTAGAAAAAAAAAACTAATCAAAGAACAGTTGTTGAAATGTTTGAAAAGATCAAAGAACACCCCCCTAAACAAATGAGAGAACTTCAATGTGCTGCTACAAAATGGGTTGTGTTGGATTCCTTGCCATTTAATGTGATGAAAGGCAATGGGTTTAAACAATTCATGAAAAGATTGGATCCAAGGTTTCGTATCCCAAACAACAAAACAACAAAAAACCTAATTACAAAAGCATACATATTACAAAAAAAAAAATTAATCAATCTAATAAGAGAAACTTGTGATACTGCAACTATCACTACTGATTTATGGACAGCAAGATCTAAAGTAGGTTACATAGGTGTTACATGCCACTGGCTTACACCAGATTTTGAACTAGTTGATGTCCTACTCGCAATTGAAAAAATGCCATATCCACATTCAAATCAAACGATTCTTGAATATCTAAAAAATAAAATTAATGAATTTGGGCTTGAAGGGAAATTAATTTGTGGCATAACTGATAATGGAAGTAACATGAAAAAAGCATTTGAGTTGTGGGAAGAAGTTGAACGAATTCCATGCACTGCTCATGTACTTCAATTAACTATAAATAAAGCACTTGGATCAATCAAACCATATGTCAAAAGATTTAAAAAATTGGTTAAATTTTTCACATCATCTCCAAAACAAACTGAAAGGTTA